AAGTTCGAATCTGCCGACCAAAATATTCTAGGGTCGCCTTTCCTAGAACTTCAGTATCTAAAAGTTTAGAAATGAAGAGGTATTGGAAAGAATAGGAGAACAGAGGACTCTATGGAAGTCAATAAGAAATAGGCGAGATAGGTTAGTAAGACACCTTCTCAGGCATGAAGGTCTAGTCAGAGACATATTAGAGGCAGAAACAGGAGTTAGGAGGAATCAAGCTAGACCTAGACTAGATTATCGTTCTCAAATAGTTAAGGATGTGGGTTGTTCTAGTTTTGGAGAAATGCGAAGATTAGCTCAGGATAGGAAAGAGTGGAGATGCGTGTCCAACCAGTTCTAGGACTGACGACCTTATGATGATGATGATATGCAGTTTAATTGCTTCCCTCTTGACATACCCCAATCGGCCAGTACATGTTTTTCCCCATATTATTCTTAAGTTCATGTAAAAAACACAACATCTCCTTTCCTTTGTTTTTATACACTTGCCTATCACTATCAAGCAGATGTTTTTAACGTCAACTGAAACGACGCAGTTTGTATGCAAAACTGTTTTATTACATTCGGTAACTATTCCAAGCGTTTGCAATAATTTTCATTAATCGCCTGTAAAANTAATAATTTACCTAAGGCTCCATTTCTGGTTGTATAAGAAACCGCATTTCGATAGAATGCAATATAAATAATTCTCAATTTCCATCAACAGCAAAAAACCTCTCTAAATCGTTATCAGAATGTTGTCCTTGAGCTGAAATGCAAGTCGCAATGTTACAAGAGCAGTTTCCAGATTGACAGCCGCGTTATTTTATCGCCCGTCGTTATTGCAAGCGACGAAACACTCATACCTATTTGTAACCTTTGCAACAGCTGGTACACAGACAAGTAGCCTGCACTCCGTAGTTACTATTCGATTGATAAAGTTATTCAACACAAGATTCAAAAATACGTTGAGTGTGAAGATATCACACAAAAAACAATGTAATTGCACGCAGAATATGCGGAAATAGTGGTCCCATATTGGCGGTTCAATGAGAATGCACTGACGGCATTACGGGAATACGCGTCATTATTACCGGAACAGTTGGAGCTTTCTGTAAGGTCCTTATACTCATGTTTATGTATATCACTGACTGGTGCGAGATGGCTCATTCTATTTCTTTTCATGTATCTCCTTCTTCCTTAATTTTCCTGGAGTGCTAATCAGGCATAGTGTATACGCCATGTTGTTAAGGATTTTAAAATCTTAGTTTGTGTTATTGTTTCCTACCGCAATCTTATAGTCCCAGTAAGTGGGAATTCGTCCAAATTCGACAATCCTCTTGTATAATAATGCAGTGGCGTTGTTTGAGAATAGAATCTACCAGTTTACTGTTGGCACTTGCACTGTAAATAGCTTTTCTAAAATGACCACCTATTAAAACCCAGTTGGTCTTGTGAAGTTGGTGCAACGACTGTTTGTCTTATCATTATCTAAGCAAACTTCAGAGAATTATCGATTTAATGTGTGGTAACAGTCGCATCCGAAATAAAGCTTAATGAAATTAGTTCGAGCTCACCGAGTGAACTTCACCATATGCTTGGTCTATAATTTTCGATTAATGTATGTACAAGTAATGGAGAATGGTTTTATCCCTCTAATTAAGTTCGTAAAACAGTTCCATGAATTTCAAAGTCTTAGTGCCACAACTAATTCGTTAATTGATTAGTTAATTAGCATAAATGATAACTGTTGATTGTTTTATATGTAATTGTGTAATAGTATTTAATGAACACAGGGTGTTTCTGAAATAAATAGCTTTGAAGGGTTTTAACCAGATGCAATAGGAATCGCATGATGAGTAAAGCAGGTGGTTAAGGGACAACAGAAATTGCAAGAAAATCAGTTGCAATCTCAAGCCGGTCCTGGGCGTGAATTGGCAATGTACAGAGAAACTGCGATAATAATTAAGTTGTGTAAAGTAAATATCAACATCAATTAGATGTATCTAATGACTTCAACTGTCTACATACATACTTAATGCGAGCCTACAATGTTAAAAGAAACTGAAGATAAACGTCGTCAATCACACTGAATCTATGAACAAATAATAAATAATACATGAGTAGAGAAATACTTAAGAAATGCAGTGCGGATGCTGAATGCGGCGTTGCGAGGTTGCATTTCCTGCGTAATTGTACCAGGGCCGGACTGGACTGACGGTTTTTATCGAAAATGTTTTTCTTTTTCAAAAATTTTCTTGTTTTATCACCCTATCACTTCCTGCAAGCTTGCTACTTATTTCAAAAGCACCATGTAGGAGATGTACACTAAGACTCGAAAATATAATAATGCAAATTTATCTTTATAAATTAAAGTTTGGATCCTAGAAAATTTAATTTTGTTTAATGAAATTTAGTTATAAAGTTATAGTGCAAAACTATCAGAAGGATGTTTAGTTGCCGGCGGCTATTATGATTTACAAACTTTGTAAACTATCAACCTGTTCCTTGCTAGGTAACAAAATACACAATGCTCTTCTATATTACGCACTTAACACTGTTTAAATATATCTCAAGCTTCTCTCTATTGCGTTTATAACTGTACTGGTTTGTCTTAACTCTTATTTTGTAAATTAGCTTGATGTTCTTAATTTTTGCAGTTTATACATATAAAGTACCTACCTGTACTGCTTCTATCATCAATAGTTTCAAGGTGTTCAACCTTCCAGTGTTTTACTTTCTTCTTGAATTTTTATCCATTAGATAAAACCTACGCTAATTTTTGTTTGAAAAAGCTTAATTTTATAGCGTCCGTTAAGGAATTAATACAGAACTTTTTTACCTTTCTTCTTGTAGAAGTTTTATTTTTAAGGAAATTTGTTCCCTAATAAGGAACAGGTGGAAAAAATTTCTTACATCATTATCCTTCTCATTTTCTGCATAAATCATGGAGGACTTAAAATGAATAAGTTTCACTTTCATCCAAGGGCTAAAGGAGAACAAACCCAAAAGGAAGAAAGTTTTGCTACAAAATTTCTTAAATTAGCCTATTATCCCTTACACAATTGCTTCTAATAAATCAGATGTTTTATACACAGCTTGTATTAGCAATAATTTAGGGAACAGTCTTGATAAATAAAAAAATAGATTGTCTGTAAAGTCGGTTTACTGACGATAGCTGAACGTGACAACGTCATAAGAAAATACTGATGGAATGGTTTCATTTTTCAAAAGAAAATTTTAATTTTATTTGCTTGATAGATATTTTGTATGGATATAGAGAAGGAGGTAAATGGAAATGTATTATTGTATAGCAGCTGTCCACGCGGACGCATCGCTCACTTAAGTAGGAGAGAGACAGATGTCAAACGCTGCCGAACGCGGAGTCGATTGTGCCTCTTTGTCGCTCGTTCCGCGCTCTCGCTTGCACTTCAAGCCTTAAATGGAACGCCTCAGAGCGAGGTAACGCCGCATGAGTCATGTTTTTTCGTGCGTGCAGCCGGCTCCATCGAATTATAAGACGTTGTCACGTTCAAAAATTACGTATGAGTCACCAATAAGTCTATAAAGTTAAGTATTAATTTCAAAGTTTCTGAATATATTTCTGCTATACAATAAACAGTATTTTAGTTAAATTTCCCACGAGTTCTAATTTTTGCACCTTTGCTGGCAGCTATTACCTAGAATTGAGCTTTGAACCGTGTACTGTGTCATTACTGACTTCGTAATTAATTTATCTTTCGTTTGAACTTTTATGTAGAAGCAGAGGATTTAAATTTGAGTTAACAAAATGAAATTACTAGCTCAAATACTCCCTGAAATTCAGTCACTGGGGTACTAGTATATTGTTCTAGCATAGAGGGTCGGATAGTTAACTGTTTGAAATTAGTTTCCGAGATATAATTTCAAACTTATCATTATGACGATACTGACATTAACTCTCTTGTTAATGTTACTTTATATGCTGTTCGGAAACTCAATACTTACATAAAAGTGTGTCCTTTGCATAGACATCAGTCAGTTTAAATGAATCCTTCGAAAAGGCTCGGCGAACTTAAAGCACCAGTAATTAAGATAGTTAGTTTAAGCAACTTCTAACTTCGAGAGTTGAATGAAAATTTATGTAGGGTATATTGAGACCAGTTTAGCTTCAGTTTTTCTTTCTTAACTGCTGCCATTATTCCCATCAGAGATTATATTCTAGAATTTACTACAGCGTGTTTCTAGATTCGTATATACCAACACGCACATAATGCTTCCAAGTAAATGCATTGTCAATACAAATTAACAGTTAAAATCCAGGCAAAATCTATACAATTTTAAAGAATTAGCAGGAATATTCAGCCTGTTACTCCAACTACTAAAATAAGCTAATGCCCTAGCGTATTTTTGCAAACTACTAATGTAGATACACAATAAGACAATATTGTAATGTTTGTGGGTTTAACAAAATCAATTTCTATGACTGATAACGACAAAAACTATTTATTTACACTAATTTTATTAAGAACTTAAAAACACTATTAAATTATTAGTAAACTTAGCTAATGAATTATTCTATTTATTTATACTACTGTTGATATATCACTATTCACTGCTATCACTGTCAATTTATTTAGTCTACTCTCTCGGCGATCGTCTCTTTCTTTAAATACTCTTTTGTTTACTTTCTGAAACCTTCTGGAAACATCCGGATAGTTTATTTTTTCTTTGAACTGTTTAACTGCTTTCCCATAACGCAGGTACAGCACACACATTTACAAATACGGCGCACATGAAGAAAGGCGCCCGCGGCTAGTCGGCGAATCGATAAGCCGTTCACGCCCACGTGTGCCCGATCGCACACAAACACACTCGTGCTGTATTCCCATTATTTATAATATTATATAGTTTGCGACGAAGAGTTCTCGCCTTTAAGTTTTAAGAAGTATTTCACAGACAAGATTGTTAACAAATGTCGTAATGGTATTTGAATTCTAATGTTCATTTATTTATACAAACGTCTTCTTGTTTTTCAGTATATTATCCAACACCGACATGAGCTTTCTAAGCTCATTGCAGGAATACGTCACCAACAGCGTCGCAGGACTCACCCTTAACCCTAAAAGGTAAGCCGCTGTTGTTTTTTAAACCATTTATAATAGTGAAAACGTTATGGTCCATAAAACAGGTTTATGTGCTATGAACAGACTAATGTTTACGGCAAGCAGACAAGGGTAAGTTTCACAATGGTGGCAGATAAGCGAAATTTGTTTTTAACGATCAATAAATGACAAACAAGGTCTTTAGTGTATAGAATCGCTTTTTATAGTCGGAACTGTTTAATTAATAACTAATTTTTTGTTTAGAGATTGAAGTCATTCTCTTTAGATTTTATGAATAATTTTCCTGTTGTTTGATAGGCATTGATAAGGGGGTAAACAAGTGTTTAGATTCTCACTATTTTTAAATAGGAATGAATATTCGTATGTTTTTGCTTGACTGCGCCAAACGGCTAAATCGATTTTAATCAACGTGGTGTCTTTCAATTCACCTAAACTGTTGGATGATTAAAGGTTAGGTTTTGTTCTGTAAGAACAAAATGGTACACGTAAAATACAAAATGGCAATAGAGACAAAAAAGAAATTTGCCTACAACATTAAGTAGATTTGCAGATGATATAGCAGTATTACCATATAGCAAGGAGTAAGGTATAGCTTTAAATAAAATGGAAGCGGCATTGACAAAACAGTACTGTATGAAAATAAATAAAAGTAAAACAAAAATATTAGTAATCACGGGAAGAAAAAGTAGGGAAAGAAAGAGGTGGCCGATTTTAGGTATCTAGGAAGTCAGATAAGTCAGGATGGAAGGAGCAATTGGGATATAAAACAGAGGATCCCATGTAGGAACCGCCAGAGTTGAATGACGGGGCCTAGCCTGGTACAGTACTGGGGAGCCCTGCTTTGGCGCCCCGATAGTGGGGGGGAGCCTAGTCTTTGGCCAAGACTAAACAACCTAGCCTTGGCCAATCCAATGATTACCCAAGTCTGGGCCAAGATTGGTCTGCCATAGAATGGCCAAAGCAGGGAAGCCCAGTATAAAACAAGTTGATAAAAAACTTCAAAGATTCGTTATTTTTATCAATTTTATCGAGTTCATGATGGAGTTTTCCACGTTATTAATATTCTGTGATAGAAATTATAACATAATTCAATTTATTATTGATATTATTAAATACAAAAGTTAAACATGAGTTAATCCTATAAAGTAAACTTGGGTCAGTTTTGGCAAGCTTGGGCCAATTTTAAAAATTAAGCATGACCCAGTCAAGTAAATACGGCATGGGCCAGATTTGAAATTTAACTATGGCCCAGCCCTGGCAATCAGGCATGGGTCAGACTTAAAACCTAACTATACCCCAGTCCTGGCAAGCAGGCATGGGCCAGACTTGAAACAACTATGGCCCATCCCTGGCATTCAGATATGGGCCAGACTTAAAACTTAACTATGCCCCAGTCCTGGCAACCAGGCATGGACCAGACTTGAAACAACTATGGCCCAGCCCTGGCAACCAGACATGGGCCAGACTTGAAGCTTAACTATGTCCCAGCCCTGGCAACTAGGCGTGGGCCAGTCTTAGTAACCATTATTGGGCCAGCGTTATCATTCCAGACTTTGACCAAGACTGGGCCAAGTCTGGCTTACAAGTCTGGCTCAGAGTTCTGCATAGTTGGACCAAGGTTGGTAACCTTCAATAAAAAGAAGTCACTGCTATGTTTGCGAACGGTTAATTTGAAAATTCGAAAAAGGTTGTTGAAGGTGTAAGTGGACGCGGCGGAAAAGAAAAGATTAGAAGCGTTCGAAATGTGGTGTTACAGGCGAATGCTGAGAACACCATGGATAGAGAAGGTTGGAAATGAAGAAGTATTAGAAAGAATAGGAGAACAGAGGACTCCATGGAAGTCAATAAGAAATAGGCGAGATAGGTTAGTAGGACATCTTCCCAGGCATGAAATCAAAAATCACCCATTTAATAATGTAAACAATTACAGTCGGAAGCATGCATGAAGGAGGAGTTAATCTTCCGACTGCAGCCATTTATTATACTTATTGAATTGGGGGTGATTTCCAACAGATTTTTAAATTACTTTTATACCAACACCTTGCTTCCATCATTTTAGCAGACTAATTGTAATTTTTTTCAATTTAAATTTTTATTACCTGCCCGAATGATTAGGCAATTCAACAAAATTCCACACGGAATATAAAAAGGCCTTTAAGAAAATTAATAATTAGTTTAAGAGCATCAACTATTTAAAGAAAGCAATTATTTATTTACGACGAAAGTTTCACCTATTTGTATTGAGCACTCTACGTTGGCAACTTTTTGTAAACCTGTTCAGTTATTTTATTCAGAAGAAAAAGAATTCTGACAAAAGCTTTTCCTTTCTGTTGCTCAATTATTAATCCCTAATTTTTTATTTATAATTTTCTCCGATGGAGAAATAGTGTTTCCTAATTAGAACAAACAGCGACACAAAGTATACCATTCTCTTGCTTAAAAATGTAGATAGGTACAAGAAACAACATGCAAGTTAGAATTATTTTTACTGGCTTGAACAACTTCTACCATTGGTCTGGTCTTTTATGCAGATTGTTCAAATATATACAACCAGGTACCAACTATGTAACAATGTTTTGAAATCTTTATTTTTGTTTTATCACTCAAAATAAAAGGATGATTTAGTATATTTGGGTAAAAAAGTTCATGATGGTCAGTATTCTATTGACACTGCCATCTTGTTGGATCTCATCAGCTCATCGCAGACTAACTCTATCTACAGCTTTTAAATGGCGTTCGATGAATTACTATAAAAAGCGAAGTAAACGCCATCTGTTCTGTTAGGTCACATATCTACCACGTAGAGTGGGTTCAAGTCGAGAAATCGATATCCTTATGTACCATGTCGATCATTTTTGAATGCCAGAAAATGTAGCAATTTTCTACAAATAGCCTTTACTGCGTCAATGCAAATTTTCGTTTACTTGAGTAAACTAATAGTAAAGTTTTTCTACTTGTCCCTTGTCCGTTGAAGTTTCAATTCTGCTATGTGTCCCAACACACATTTCGTTTTCACAGGTTTATTACAAATTATGATTTGGTTTTTACACAGACCGCAAATAGAGACGATGATGCCCAGCCACGTGGAGAGCAGAGGTAAGAAAACAACAGCTGAGCACAGCACACGCCGCCGGGACTCTAACGGACCCCCCACTCTCCGCGCAGCTGCGCATTTCATCCATCTAATACAGTTGTTACCCTCTCTCCGCCGCCTCCAGCCTTTCTCTCCCTCCTAAGCTAACGCCTCTTACCCCGCTATATACCGTCTACCCCCTCCACGCGTCCGCAACGCTTTTTCGTGACAGAAAAAATCGTAATACCCCGTCGTCTATACAGAAGTTTCACTTCAAAAATAAATGGTGCTCTGAAGTAAATAAAGAAGTAAAAATTTTAGAAACATCAGTGACATGTTCAGTTCCCAAATGAGAATACCAACTTTGATGAAGTTTTTAGTCTATTTGATAATAATAATTCTTCGATTTGTCGGAAAAGATCGGCCCACTCTAGCAGACTTATAATTATTTATATATTTCGCTTTCGTTAAGTGTTTTCTATTGTATTATAGCTATAAATGTTTCATTTGTTCCATTCTATTTTAATTTTAAATGCAAGCATAAAACACTGCCATTTGACACGATTGTGATGTCTAAAATAAAAGAATTATGAGCAACGCTTTTTACCTCTGTACAGAAAATGCAAATCTATTGTTCTACTTTGGAAAATTGCCGGGTTTGTTTCCGACACAAATGCATAATTTTATAAAGCTTTTCGACGATCGTTCTTTTAGAAAAGTGTTTTGAATTGCCGTTATAACGCGATACCTATAGCTTGTGGCAACAAACGTGTGAGTTTATGCAAGTTGGCGTTTAGCCAACCAGCTAAACATCTAGCAAGAGCCGAGATTGAACTTCAACTTTTTCAACGTAAAATATGTTGTGCTGCGGCGGTAACCAACTTTCTTACACTTCTGTAGCCAATTTGCATTTATGATGCATGCTAATGCTTCAAGAAGGCTCGCCTTTACTTCGAATTAATTAGCGGGAATTTAATAGTCGTTGATCTAGCTTAAAGTTCTTAATTTCATCGTTTATTCATGATTTGGAAACTTTAACGATATCCGTTTCCGATATGATTGGCGGTTCCTTTGTTACATGAAACTGCTAAAGGATTTACCGATTTACCCACATCCGTATTGCGACCGTGCTATAACCTTAACAGAAAACTGTTCAATACTTTTGTGGTGGCATAATTGTATCTTATCTATTACGAATAAATGTAAACGTGTTCATAAAAATGCATATAAAAACATTTTTAACGGATACTGCACAGTCACGGTACGGATGGGTGTGAATTCACTTTAAAGCTTCATTTTACTACTATAAGTACATACAAGTACTGAACACAATCTGATTAAATTTAAGCGACATTGATTATGAGAATAATGTGCACTTTACATGATTAATGAATTGGATAACATTTATAAACAGATTTGGGATGTTTTTGCAGCGCTAATGACTTGAGTAATTTTAACCAAACGTATTCCGTAAAAAAAACTGAAATCTTCGCCGAAATCTTTAATAACAGAATTAATTTATGTAACGAGCATAGAACAATACAATTGATATATTTTATGTAGCTATCAATTTATTTACTTGTAATATTTCAAAGGTGACTTTTTCTGACATCTTTTCATAATCATAAGGTCGTAGGTCCTAAGAGTGATTGGACTAAGACTGGTTGGACAACACCTCCACTCTTTCCTATCCTGTGCTAATATTCGCATTTTCTCAAAACTGGAACAACCCACTTCCTTTCCGTTAATTTCCATTAATCAAACTAATTAGATAACACGAACCCAAATCACGGTGTTATAAACTGCACATCAATATTATTCAATCATCGAACATTTATCTTTTATATATTCATTTACCTTTACCAAGAGGCGTAACAATCTTCGACCGTCGACCCCGATCGACCGTTTGATCTGTTAGATCTAGATATAT